CTCCCTCCTTTCGTCTGATCCTTACCTCTTCGTCTATGCATGTCTGGACCTGGCGCTTTCTTCCTGTGTGCAGCGCCAGGCTCCTTCACACCTGGTGAGGGGTACGATGCATGTTTGGTCTGAGTTCAACCATCGGTTGGACTAGTTATCAACATTCTAGCAGTCTGTTTCGCTACTTGCTACTACGTGTGTAAGGTCAGTCCTTGTCAGGTCAGTCTTTGTATCTAWGTCTTCCCTGCGCTATTCAGCACTTTTGTATGTATGAGAATGCACATTTTCTGTCGAGATTCTACTCTCACCGCATTGTCCATTTCAGTCCTTTTCGTCACATTGCAGTTCCTCGGTTATTACAAACATCACATATCTGTGCATGTAACAGTTGGTATCGGAGCTTTGCACGTGAATCAGGACTACCTGATCTGACACGTGTGCGGGGACTAAAGAGCTAGGTAGTCTTTTCCGATTGATTAGGACATACCAGTTAGACCCCAAAATCACGATCTTGACCTTACTACCGAAAATCAAATTTTTTTCTCGGATTTTATTTTTCTCGCTATTTTGTTGTAGGCAAAATCGGAATATCGCAACATCTGAAATTTTCATTTTCGTCTTTTTCTGAAAATTCAAAATTTCGTTGTTGAAAATCTGGAATATTTTTCTTTTCGAAAGTTTCGATTTCCTGTTGCATTTCCCGATACTTGGAAATTCAGAATATTGTCTTTTCTGAAATTCGTTTTTTTGAAAACGGTACGGGAAAAATCTCCCGATACTTAGGAATTCGGAATATTGTCTTTTCTGAAATTCGTGTTTCTGAAAAACGGTACGAGAAAACTCTCCTGCGGTATTCTTTTCAAACTGTGAATATCCTTATCGGAATAAATCCAAATATTTGTCATTTCGGTTCGGAATTTTTTTCGCAGTTCGGGGATTCTGTTGTTCAGTCATATCAATCATTTGCAGTATAAAGTCGAAATCTTTTTCGCTTTCAGTGATCATTTCGTACTTCAAGGGAGGTTGGGGGACCTACCGAACTTGCAAAAATCGGGATTTTTATTTTTTCGAATTTTTTTTGCAAAGTTCAAACTTTTCTGTTTTGATTAGTGGCTCCTTACCGAAGTGTGAGTTGGGCGATTATCCCACCCACCCCTCCCCACCTATGTTGTTGCTATCTCTCGCCTTACCGTTTCTGTTTGAATCCGGGTACCCCCTGCGGCGGCATTGGTGAGTTGCCACGTCAGAAGGACACGTCAGCAGGCCACGCCAGCAGGACACATCAGCAGAGCCACGTCAGCAGCAAGGGATACCTTATCAGCAGGCCCCGGTCGGTCTATGCTGTTCAGATCTCAAACAGCAGTCATGGACCAGAGGCCCGGAGAAGCGGACGAGGCCTATCAGGCCCGCATGCTGGCCAGGAGTGCGGAGACTAAGAAACGGGCAGATGACGCTGCAGCAGCAGCGAAGAAGAAGGCGGAAGATGCAGAGTAGGCACGTCTGCTGGCACTTGAACAACAGCGCCAGCATGACGAGGCAGCAGCAAGGGCTGCCGATGAAGAAAGAATACAGCGACGTGAGAAGATATT